GTGCTAAATAAGAGGGAAGGCATCTAATCAGTCATCAACAGCCAACTACAGGGCTACTCGTTATCAATGAATAGTGGAATTTATCGTCGCTTTATAACGCCTCCACGGCTGAAAGAGTGAGCATGTTCGGTGACGGGTTTCGATCCCACTTATTGTGAGTTGAGCACCCTAAACACCAGGCTATTTATTTACTTACCTCTAAATTCTAGAATATGTCCTGATCTTCTTAATGATTGAGCATCTCATGGAGAACAGAAGGGGGGGGGCTGGGGTTGAAATACCACTCCAGTGTTCTAAAGTGTCTAAAAGATCTATAATCTTTTGATTTTTTAATTGTTTGTGCAAAAGTAATGGTCCACATATTTTTGGAAAAACACCCTCTCCTACTAATTTGTATGCTGGGTATGCCCCTGGAGAGGTCTTCTCTGACTCATTAGATTTGAATACACAATAACTATATTATGAATCGATATCTTTCGAGATGTCTGTAGAATCTGTGAAACATAGCATTATATACGCGAAACGATAACGTTAGTCTTTGCAGGGCACGTACACTACCCATGTGACTGTTGGTCTTTCCTATGGAAAAATAAGGGAAGTTATATTCTCGAGAAGGTTATACTATCCCACAAGAAGTAACACCTTAGGTGAATGATCCAGAGCAATAGGTAACTCGGAATCTGCATTCCATACTCTCCACAAGATGCTGAATGGTACCTTACTCAAGTGTGGAACATTAAACTTGTATATAGCTGTTATAGTTAATACCTATAACACTGTTCAGAAAAGTGTATAATAATAGGATATGACACTTTTCTAATTCTTGAAAATCCGTTAGTGACTAGATAAAGAAAGTAATGTTTGAAAAATATAGTAGGCCTAATACTAATGTATTGTGACAAGTATAATTTTAGAAGTAATAGTCGAACTTTTTGGCCGACATGACTTGGTGGTTAGGGCGCTAGATTCGCAATCTGATGGTTGTGGGTTCGAATCCCCGTCACCGAACATACTCGCCCTTTCAGCCGTGGGGGCGTTATAATGTGACGGTCAATCCCACTATTCGTTGGTAAAAGAGTAGCCCAAGAGTTGACGGTGGATGGTGTTGACTAGCTGCCTTCCCTTTAGTGTATCACTGCTAAATTAGGAACGGCTAGCGCAGATAGCCCTCGAGTAGCTTTGTGCGAAATTCAAAACAAACCAAACCAATTTGTAATTTTGTAAATATATAAGTGTAACGCAGCAAAAAGTGGAATATAAAAAGTAGGAAATACGATGCTCCAACAGAGTTAGGTTGATATTATTACTATGGTGATGCCCAATTAAGCATGGCAAAATGTTGACATATATTTAATTATTTGTATTAGATATGTCTGCGGACTTACAACGCTAGAAACCGGGTTCGATACCCGTGGTGAGCAGAGCACAGATAGCCCATTGTGTAGTTCTGTGCTTAACTTCAAAACAAACAAACAATCTGTATTGATTGGTCCCATGTGTCCATAAAAGGTGATAGAAGTAGAATGTTGATGTCATAAGTGGCTGCCGCTGATTGGCTGAGTAGTATAAGTGGCATTTGGATAAGGTTTTTACAATATCGTGTATAGCAATTAGTGTGTTATTTTACTATTGGCATGTGGATACTATTAGTTACTGCCGCTGATTGGCTGAGTAGTATAAGTGGCATTTGGATAAGGTTTTTACACTAATTGCTATACACGATATTGTGTTATTTTACTATTGGCATGTGGATACTATTAGTTACTGTTGCTGATTGGCTGAGTAGTATAAGTGGCATTTAGATAAGGTTTTTACACTAATTGCTATACACGATATTGTGTTAGTATCCACATGCCAATAGTAAAATGTTGCTGATTGGCTGAAGCAGTAGACGACATTATATATATAGTATAATGCAATAAGCCTAAGAATGATATATATTTTGTTATAAACATACAAGTGGTTGAAGATACGATGTGAAAGAAACAGATGGGTATAAGTTCTAAAATGTTTGGTAAAACTAAGCAAAAGTAGTGATATAGTATAGATAAGTGCCTGCTTAACTTCGTTGTTGTTGCTTTTCCACATATTAATAATATTTTTGTAATACTCTGCACACAACATGAATTAACCGCATTGTGTACTTACAGGATTCTGCAACCAGTGTAGCCTTTAACAACACCTCTTCACAGTTCTTTGGGATTGGTTGTAAATCTGGAAATGTCGTCATCTGGGATCTAAAATCTCATAAACCTAAAAAGTTCTACTCAGTAAGTACTAGACTAAGTAGATGCATGGGTATTTGCTTACCAATAATAGTTTTACAGAAAATTTTATTAAATGAACCTTTTAAGAGTTACAAATAGTTGGCATTCCTAGATGTTAGATGTTACTTTCCGAGACTCTAAGGACGAAAAACTTTTTTTCCTGATATAATTGACCTTTTATATTGTACTTAGTTGTTTTAAACTCGGACACATATAAGATGTCTAATTCTTCTGTATGGTGCAATGAAGATGTCAGAATCAGAGGCGTCGCTAGGTTCTTAAAAGATTCAGGGTTCGGAGCCACAGGCGCGGGAATTTCCGGCGTTTAAGTATGATATCAGTCATGGTTTTCTATTCTGATTTTTCATGACACCATCTGGGGATTCGGGGGTACAGTAACACCAACGTGACTTCTAGGTGTTCAGTACGAACCTTCAAATTGAAATCAAGTAACTGGAGTGAAACGTAATTATGAAATAAAACACCAACTAGTTTTCATCTATAAAATGATCCCTAAAATTAAATACATTTATTATTATCTCAGGACATAAAAAGTTGCTTCTCTTCTATATAATTGTAAAAACGCCCATAAAAACTGCAAAACACAAAATGTGAAACCGCAACTTTGCATGTATCTCCGCACGGACCCAGCAAGCCTTCATGCCATATGTGGTGAAGATCCATCAATAGGGGATGAATTAATGGTAAAAAACGCCCATAAAAATAACAAAATGCTAAACTGAAAATGTGTATATATTCTCATGGACCCAATGAACCTCTATACAAAAATTTGGTGAAGGTCCATTTACAGGAGTTGAGGTAGTGGTAAAAAACGCCCATAAAATTCACAAAACGCAAAACTGAAAATTTGTATGTACCTCCGCATGGACATAATGAACCTCCATACCAATTTTGGTGAAGACCCATCCACACCCTGCGAAGTAGTTACATGAACAAACAACAGACAGTACTATTATATTTATATAGATTTATGCATTTAAACATACGATATAAAACCTTTATATTTTTATTTTTCACCTTGCGGTTCAGATATTTCATACAATTTAGCACAACACCACAAATGAGACGTTAAGAGGTCTATTCATAATCTCAATATCGTCAGCTCAAAACGAGGCTAGACCTGCTGCAGTTCTTTCGTAAACATTGCGACCAGTATGAATGAAATCACTAAACGTGACCTTTGGCACACAGACTTATGATTTGTACCTGTATTTCTCGCAGATATTATCGTAAACTTAATAGCCAAAGTGCCAAACAAAAGGCCGTTAAAGTGACATCAAGTAGGGTGTAGAAATTTTTCTTAGAGGGCTACATGCACGAGGTAGAAGGTAAGTTTCATACTCATAGCCGTCATTAATAATAGTCGGTCCCACAATGATTGAAATTAAATATTATATTAATTATTTAAGTATATAGTTTTATATTTAAGATCAACGATGTGATGAAATGGCTTTTATCACATAGATGAGTTAATATACTTACCGTCGGAAACGTTTTGAATATCATATCGACTCGCTCTGTGAAAACCTGTTAGCGTTAGGTCGACGAACTTTACTATGTACTTAGCCTAACACGTACCGGTAACCATGGTGACTTAGATGTCAACAATTACTGTTGTATACATAATCATGCAAAATTTCTAAATTAAATAGGCCTACAGCGCTTGTTGCCTTTATATATAAATTCATAAACTTTTCAAGGGACAAAAAGGAGCTTATTATCCCACCAAGAATGTCCCTTCCAGCTCCCGACTATAATCATCCCTCACTACTCATGTATTCATCCAATCTTTTCTTGAACTCAGTTAACATTTCTGCCTCCCCCCACCCTTCAAGGCAGCTCTTTCCAAAAGCCAACTACCCTGTTTGAAAAGTAATAGTGTCTAAACTGCAGACAACTCCTACACTGCCAAAATTTGAGTTTATGACCCCTTGTCCTATTGTTTTCACTGCTAAACACGAACAAATTTGATGGATCTATTTTATCAATACCCATAATCAGGGTCATTCTATTTATTTAATTTTGCTGATTTTTCATAAATCCAAATTAGGTAACAATTTTTTCATAAATCCAATTTAGGTGACAATTTTTTCATGAATCCATGAAAAGCATTTTAGCTCATTAATTAGTATGCACTTCTAGTGAGCTTTGGAATATCCCTCTGCTGGGCCCCTCAACAGGCCCCGGGAAAGCTGCCCCTTGTCCCCCTTTTCGTCAGCCCTACCCTTAATAATCTTAAAACACCTCAAGCAAATCCCCTATGGTCCTTCTCCTCTCCAGAGAAAACGTTTTTCTAGATTATTTTCTGCGACTTTTCAAGCAGTAAAGACCGTCTTTACAGAAAATTTAACGGCAGACGAAGGGCGTCTACTCGAAACGTCGCAAAAAACAAACTAGAAAAGGTGTTCATTTTGACGTGTTAATTTATTCGTTAATATCTTTTATCAAAGTTTTCATCTGATTTCTTGCATAACATCACTCATTCAAGAATTATTATAGATTTAGCCAACGAACGTTAACACAGACTGAGATAGGCCTAGTTTAATATGACGTGTTTGGCAGTAATAATAGTTTGTTATGCATGCAATTTAATGAATACTTTCAAACAAACATAAATTACAAACTAAATATATATTTTGTATTAGATGTATGTAAACACTGATAGTCCCCAATTATCGCTGGTATATGACTACCTTACCTTGAAATACAAGCCTTCATCTTACTTAATCTTCCTTAAATCCTTATTTGACAGAAATTATTCGAAGATACATTGTTTTTATTTTTTTCATGTGTCGTTTGACGCTTGTTTTTCTTTATAATACCAGTCATTGCTGCAATTCGACACCGACCAATGGGCCACATTGTTAGCGCTAGTAGTGATAGCCTCGCTTTGAAGCCGTAATGGCGAAAGCGTGATTCACGTCTTTTGTGGTTAGTGCCGGAACTATATGGACTTAAGTGATGTCAGCTGTGGATTATCTGCAGTTAAAATTGCATGGTAAACATCAGTAACCACTTACAAAGTTTTTACACCAAATAGAGTGTTTTAACTTAATAACAACATTGAAATACGTAAAGGTGTTGGGGATAATATACGTTTTTCATCAATAGTTTCTATTCATTTCATGTGGTTAATAAAGTTTAGTTTAGAGTAAATTGCTCTCAACTTTAAACCCGTGTCTCTGTGCTCAATTGTTCTTTTTAGGGAATGACCTTATATGTTCCTGATATCCGTATTTAAACACAACTTTTCTGTTTCATCTTACATTAAAAATATTCATCCTGGACCTCTTAGAATCAATCTCTGGGTTTTATTAATTTATAATATTGTATATATATATTCTCCAGTGCTCAATTTGCCAAACACTGAAACAGTAGTTTTCGTTTCATTTGTGGACCTGCAAGCTAATCCTAGTCACTTCTTTGGTGACTTAATATCTGTTGCCATGATTTTAATTTGCTACTTTTCTTCACTTCATATAATCTTAAAACAAGTTTTCTGTCCTCTGGACACACCTTTTTCTAGGAGAGCTCCTGTGTGAGGCTCCTTACCTTACAGTATTTGTTCTTTCTTTAACTTTCTTCTCATGTATGAACCTTTTTTGTCAAACATTTCTGTTTGACAAAGCTTTTGACTGGAAATTTGGGTAAGATCTTGGTATAGTTTGTTGTAACCACTTGATTTTTTGGGTTACATGTGATTATCATTCCTGAACTGATTTTTAACCAAACCTGCAACAATCCTAGACACTGTTCTTATAGAACTATTTGTCTTGCAGTCCCTTTTTACATGACTGCTTGTCTTTTCATTTCCTATCGATATTTCTAAACTAATTATTTTCCTAGTTTCCAGAAATTTGGAGGAAGCTTCATTTCTTATGCATGGTTTTGTTTGTTTGTTGTTAAAAGAAAGCTAAACAATGGGCTGTGCCAACCATGAGTATGAAGATTTGGTTTTAGTCTTATAAGCCTCTCATGCAAGGCTACATTTCCTTCAATATCTTTTTAACATTCTGACTTCAATTCTCTCTTCTACTGATTAATTCATAGTTTCTCTATTAGATCAGGATGATGGAAGGGGAAGGGAGCTCAGAGCCTCTTTTAAAGTGGGAAATGAAAGCTATTACAGATGTTTCTATTCATGTCTTTTTATTCTATTCATCCAAAGAGGATGGGCAGGTGATATTTTGACATAAATCTACCATTCCTTATAAGTTAACTTGTCATTCATAATTTAAAATAAGATTAGAAGTACTCTTTAAAAAAAAATGTCAGAAAAGGTTTGAAATTTTTAACCATGAAAAGTGGATCACATGAACATTTTGGCATGTTGTATTTTATCCAAACTGTCATTGTTATCTTTGGTTTAATAATTGTGATTACATTGTTATGTTATACGTTGTTCTTTTCTAAATTCTAATAATTTCATGGTTTTTACAGCACACATTGATTAATTGAGAAAAGATTTATACTTTTAAATGTATGAATGAGTGACCCTTTTCCCAGAAGGGATCCTCTTTGCCACTCAGAAGATATTTCCTGCTTGTGAAGCTGTTCAACTTCTCCTCTAAGTCATCTTGGTGTTTTCATCAACACCTCATTTGGTTGAATTGATACTACTCCCATTCACTTCCTTGTATAAACATTGGTTTCCTCATCATTGTCTCAGAAGGTTTACCCTTTTTTTATATGCCTCAATAATTGAGGCTGGGCACATTTTTCACTTTACATGGGTTTTTTGCAGGTAATTGGAAAGTGTTGCTCCGACATTTTTTCCCCTGAGATTATTATCTATCTTGTTTAATATTTGAACATACAAACACTACACACATCTTTTAAATTGTTACATCAATGCCAATGTACTAGTTAGTGACCAGAAAATTATTTCAACAGTAAAAAAATTAACTTTTGTACCAATGAAAGGTTATAAGTTTATAAAATAAATATGTGGAAAAATAAGCCATAATACACAATAGAATATCCTGAAATTTATAAATCACGATTACATATTGATATAAAACCTAACACCACTTTTACAACAGTTCTTTTATGAAATATAATAAAATTTGGAATTTTTTTCAACTATTAAAATTCCTGATTGAAGGAAGTAAGTGTTTTATGGCAGAAATAATATTTTTTATGCTCATTATAACCTTTTTATGTATAACAGTTTTACATAGCTCAGTGTTTTAATTTTGGTTGTAATTCCTGGAAGAATGCATAAAAACGTTTGTTTGATAGTTTTTTTTAAATGTGTACACCTTTATATATTTTCATATTTATTTCACTAAAAAAGTTCAATAAAAAATGTTATGATATTATGAGAAAAGAAGCATTCACATCACTGCATAATGCTTGTTATAACAATTTTAGGGTCACCGAGATGAAGTTACTTGTCTCCATTTCAACTGGAATGATTCCTATGTAGCTTCAGGTTCCCTCACGGGTGACATTATTCTTCATAATGTCACTACTGGCCAGAGTATTGAACTACGGAGATCATCTAAAACCCAGGTAGCTATAAGTAAACTTGAGTGATGTTTACAGTTTGGATTTATTCATGGTTTTTTCAGATTTATGTGTAGATTTATATTTCAAACTTTATTACACCAAATCTTTAAATAATCATACTGAGTTACACACACACACACATATATATATATATATATATATTACTATATAATATGTTACTGAGTTACACATCTATATATATATATTACAAAGCCCATTGCTTAGGGTAATACAAATCTTCCTTCAGGAAAGAAATGAAATGTATACTTAGTCTGGCAGACAGTGTCATTTAATGGGGAAACACTAAATGAAACTATTACAGCACTAGCTATACAGCCCAATACTTATTGTGAAGCAAAGATTGCTTTGTGTGCATAGTTAAAGTTACTGTGTGAAAATATGAATTTTACATTACACAGGTTACCCAGTTGTCTTTAAAAGCCAAGTTTTATATACTCTGCCTCTATGTAAGTTTAGTTAATGATTGAGAATAGGTGCTCCTATTTTTATATATAGCTGGTTATCAATTAAATTTTAATTATGACAATTTTTTATGTTTAACTATTCTTCTACAAACCTAGGATATGATCAAACATTTTATGAGTGATACACTTATTAACTTTTGGAAAAAGATATTTCCTTGCCAAAACATACCATATTTCATAAACAACTTGTAAATAATTACACATAATTATTCTAAATAGTTCCAGAAATGTCAAGGAATATGACTTCAAAAACTATATGACAGTGAAATAACTTGCATGCAGATTTATATATAACATAGCAACTTTCCTGAGTTTGCAATTAAAGTTTATTTTGACAGTTTGATTATATTCATGTGGGGTTGTTATTCAGCTGTATCACCCATCGTACAGCTGGGTATACTAGAACAAGTGGGGTAAAGTGTATAACTCAAGGCTGTATCACCCATCGTACAGCTGGGTATACTAGAACAAGTGGGGTAAAGTGTATAACTCAAGGCTGTATCACCCATCGTACAGCTGGGTATACTAGAACAAGTGGGGGTAAAGTGTCTAACTGAAGGCTGTATCACCCATCGTACAGCTGGGTATACTGGAATAAGTGGGGTAAAGTGTCTATATCACCCATCGTACAGCTGGGTATACTGGAACAAGTAGGGTAAAGTGTCTAACTCAAGGCTGTATCACCCATCGTACAGCTGGGTATACTGGAACAAGTGGGGTAAAGTGTCTAACTCAAGGACAGCATGACTTAAGATGGACTTGAACTTGCAACCATCCAATTATTAGTCAGAACACAAAGCCACTGAGCCATGTTGTCCATATATATACATACCCACACACAGAAACAAACATATTTCTTTATATATAATATATACTACAAGACTGGTCATGAATATGAATTCAACAAGAGTTATATTTGCCCTACTGCAGATCAACTTCTAGGCATGGATTGAGTGAACTTGATTCATCGAAACATCCTTTCATACATTTGTTCTGCATGCCTGTTGGAAATCATGTCAATAAACTAATACAGGGCTAAGTTCCCCAAAACTTTGAAATGAGTATTACTGAGAAGAGTAAAAAAAATAAAAAAGAATTAAGCAGTGAAGACAAAGCATGGTGTAATTGATTAATCCATGGAATGCAATAAGTCCATCAAAAGTTATGTTTTATAATACTGTGGGGAAAAAAACTATGTTAACAGATCCAGGTAACTGACCCCTAGTTGTTCAGTGACAACTTTCTTGATTTTCAACTCTAACAATCAAGTTTCAGCACCTATGTTGCACACACACACACCAAATAGCTCATTGTGTATCTTTGGGTTTAACAACAAACAAAAGTAAATATATATGAATTATATACAGCACAGGGTATACAATGTAACATTGTGTTTTTGATGTTTTGGTTTGATTTTTATTTGTTTTTTATAAGTCAATACGAGGACTTGAATACGGATTCGTTAAGAAGTCTCTACTTGGCTCTATATCAGATGATGGGTCAGTGTCTCTGTGGGATGTCAATGCCCATCAGCTGACACACAACTTCACTGGTGCTCACAGTGCTCCAGGAACAGGATTGGTTTTCTCACCAATCAACAACGTCCTGCTCTTCAGTGTGGGCTTAGACAAGAAGATAATTAGTTATGATACCCAGCTGAAAAGGTAAAATGTGTACATTTGATTTATCACAGGTTTTACAGCATAAACAGTATTAAATTATACTTTTAATAATATAAACTACAATAAATATCAAATGGAAGGTTATTATTCTGGTGGGTAGCTCTGAAAACAGCTGTTACTACTCATTTTTACAGGATTAAAGTCAAACACTTTCCTGCCATCTTTTACAGTTTAATTATAATGTTATTGATACTGCATTTTATTCTTTACATTAAACTAAGAATATATAAAACCTTAAATATAAGTCAAAGACTTATTTATATGATACTCCCATCATTGCAGTGTTGAACATCCTTGAGAGATGTTCCTGGTTTATATGATACTCCCATCATAGCAGTGTTGAACATCCTTGAGAGATGTTCCTGGTTTATATGATACTCCCATCATAGCAGTGTTGAACATCCTTGAGAGATGTTCCTGGTTTATATGATACTCCCATCATAGCAGTGTTGAACATCCTTGAGAGATGTACCTGGTTTATAAGTTGCTAAAGTGAAATAAACAAATTATCTAAATATCACACCCAGCTACAAGTTACAGCGACATCCTTGATCATAGCTAATTATAGGTATTCATATTTATAAACTAAGTATACATGATAGTGTATTGCAGAGCTACTGAAGTTTGTGAAATAAATACTGATGTTTATGTACTACAGTACATGTACACATAAGTAAATAAGACTTAGAACTATTGATGTTTATGAGTTACATGTACATGCTAGTGTATTTTGGGTTGAGATATTTACAAGTTACTAGAATGTGTATAGAAGGTTCTTTATATCATATTAAAATGACTAATGAGCCTTACCAAGTTGTTACAATTCATGTTGCCCCATCCCTTCATGCTCTATTTGATGGTTGTACATCTCGACAATAGCCCTTCATTGTAGTTTCCATTTTAAAGGGCTCTTTCATAAGACTGTCTTGTCCAAATCATACTATGCCTTCCTGAGAGCTTTCCATATTCCAGCTACTTTAAGATGATATTTTTGAAGTACCTGTTTCAACAGCCAAGTTTCTCAGAAATCCATAGGTGCTGTATTCTTGATTATGTTGGAAAACAGGGTAAGATAGAGGTTTCTAATTCTTCTACGTGTCGGAGAACAGGGTAAAATAGGTTTTTTTTAATTCTTCTACATGTTGGAGAACAGGGTAAGATAGAGGTTTTTAATTCTTCTACATGTCAGAGAACAGGGTAAGATAGAGGTTTTTAATTTTTC